GGCCGGTTGCCTGCCACACGGGTATAGGTTTTCCTCTGCAAGACGTGGCTTTTCGGTAAAAGGGTCCTCTGGCAGGCGCCTCTTTCGCAAGCAGTTGCAACGTAAAAGCTTGCCCTCTGGCAGGCAACCGGCCGGTTGCCTGCCAGAGGGGAAGGTTTACAAAACCGACATTCTCTGACGGGCAGAATTTTGGAAACACGGCTGGGAAGCTAAAGGTGTCTTTAGGTTTTTGACAGGCGACCGGACGGTCGCCTGCCAGAGGGGCCCTTCCAGCGAAACTGGCGGTAGGTACCGAGCAAGACACAAAATCGGAGGCGCGCCTTTGTCAGGGCCGGCCGGCTGCCTGACATAAGGATTTCTTCCAAGAAAGATTGGCGAAGTTGGGGCTCAACCTGCCGATCGAGGCTTGCTACTGCAGGCCCGCGACCCTGATTTCAAATGCCGTGTTGACAGGTTGCGGGGTAAGCTCTTCCAAGGAGAGCCGGGCGAAAGGACAGAGGGCCACCAGTCACCAGTGCGAAAAGGCAAAAAATAGCTAATTATATCTCTCCCGGTTGTTGTGGTTCAGCTCATTTTTGTCAACAGCTGCCCACCTAGGGTCACTGGTGTTGTTCGGCGCGGCGAGCTGCCAAGGGCAGCAGGTGGGAATGGAGCCACAGAAAAAGCTTTTCGTTGCGCAAGCACAAAGACTGAAGAGCGCGTTTGGGCAAAAGCTTTTGCTTTGAATCCTTGTCCATTCAAATCAAGAGCAAGAGTGGGAAGGTCACTCTTTGGGGCCACTTTGGGGCTCCGTTATCTGGAGCCTCAAAGCGGAACCGAAGGAAGCTGACCAAAATTGATCGCAAACGCATGCTTTGGTTTCCAGTCTTGTGCAAGGGATGCTCTTGGCGTCTTAAGAGCCACAGCAAGAGCACAACACTTTCGTTAAAGCTGTCGTCAGGTAGCAGCCGGGAAACCATTGATTTGCTATTTGCTTCGGGGGCCACCAATCAGCAACTCGGCGGAGCGCGCTTTTTCTGCGGCCTTGCCTTTTTCTCTAGCTGCACCTGCGAGCCAAAGCTGTCAACCAGCCTGCGCCAAGGTTGTGCGTTTTGGACAGCAGTGACGGTGGATTGTAACTCGCACTATCCCCAAAGTCTTTCCACAACCGGAAGGCGCTTTCGCAACAGGATCTCCGATTGCAGAAGTGATGCGGGGCATGGGAGGAGCTGCTCGGGCAGAGAGTCGTGCAAGCGTTGCTTTTATGAACGCTGGTTTAGAGGAGCTTTGAATCTGCTGAGAGCGGGCCAAAAGCCTTGGATCACTGGGCGGGTTCTTGGCATTTTTTGTTTGCAGACTACGCCTAGCCTCCCTCTGTCTGAAGGCGCGTGGCCAATCAAAACAAATCGATTTGGGGATCCAAACCGCCCGGTTTTGTTTCCGTTTTCCTAAGTTGGCAAGCGCATTTCCAAAACGGGCGCTTTGGAACCCTGTCGTGGATCTGCAACACCATGGGACCACTCAACAAAAGAAAAGAAACCGCAGCAGCGTCACCATTACGGAGCAGAAAGCGACAGCTACGATTGCAGAGACAACAAGGTTCCAACATTTTTGGTGGGCAACCTGCGTCTTTAGACGGGCAGCCTCTGCACTTTTCTTTGGACCTTTTCTGTCCTCTAACCTTGGGAAGCCTTTGCCTTGGGAATCTCTGTAATTCTCTCTATTCCTCCCAAGTGTTAGTTCCCGGTTCTGTCCGGCATGGCCTCGCGTGTTTGGGGGCGAGGCTTTGGCAGGATACCTGTGATTGCGCGGGGATTTGGATAGTTTTTTGGGGTCCCAGGCCGGTTTCTGTTCAACCTCCCTGCACATTTATGCATGCATTTAAGTGTAAATATGCGTGTATGTCAAAAGCTAAAAGTGTAAAAACAATACCCAAAAGCGTGTCCAGCTTGCAAACTCCTCTGTGTAGACGTAATCACGTATACGTCTAAACTGGAAGCTTGACATTTCATAAATGATATCAATATATAAATATTTTTGCAGCCCTGTGGCTACGATAACTGTGGATTCGGTAGGGCTTCTGCGCGGTGTGAGGCACGCACTGGAGCAGACCAAAAGTTTTCGGCTGCGACGAAAAGAGCTGGCCGTTATCTCAGAGCTCCCAGGCCGAGGTGGTGACATTGGGGTGGCGGGCGTGGAAAAGTTTTGATGCGGCAGCCTATATCTAGAAGGTTGTCTACACCTACTCCCCGTACATTCAAATTCTCAGCGAACCTTTTCAGACGAACTGCATTTGAAACCCAATATGAGCAGCGCAACTCTCGAAATTACACGCGCTTCCCAGGCTTCCCAACAATCAGCATGTTTGAGGCCAGCCCTGGGAAAACGACGCGGATTCTTTCTTGATGTCCTGCCCCTAATTGGGGGTTGAATGGAATTTGCCGGTGTGGCGGTACAAGCCATATAAGTACATAAATCCCTTGCAGGCTTCCGGCGCAAGAGAAATAAAAGCAATCATCCGAAAACTTACAGGTGTTTGGGCTTCTTCTCCCACAGCCCGGGTTAGTTTTTCTCGGTCTTGGGCCATTGGTCAGGCAGGCTTGCGCTGCGATCTGTTCCTTGAATTTTGAACCAAGAAAAAACATTTGATCAGGTCTACCACGCCAATCTGTTGTCTGTGAACTGATCCGTCTTGGCGATGTTGGTAGGAAGTACGAGTAGAAAAATTCAATCTCCTTTTGGATTTGGGACGGGGACATGCTTGCATCTTCCAAATTTGGCGACGGGCTCCAGCCAAATATCAACCAAATAAAGCAACCTTGCAGAATGCCTCACCAAGCGTACGTAGCAACGTCTGATAGACCTAAGAATAAACAAATGTAAACAACAAATCTTAGATCCTAAGGGACCATGTGAGGGCAGCCAAGTTCAGAGTCAGGAAGAGGTTCGAACCGGTTCAAGCGGATCCTTGCAAGCCGGTTGAGACTGGTTGATCCGAAGGCCTGGGGAGGCAAAGTGAGATGGAGGACTACAGAGAAAAACCACTTGCATTGTACGAGTGCGCTATATGTAAGCAGTAAACTAGTGCGAGTCGGCGAAGTGCCAGTCGACCGTTTGACAATCGCTCCTCTTGTCACTTGAGCCAAACGTAAGAGCGAAGTATGTACAGAATGGATACTGCACTGCATTTTCCGGTCCTGCTACTAGCACAGCACAAGTTCCACGGCAATGCGGGCGCATCATGCACAGGCAGCCTCTGGAACATCAATGGCTCGTACCGAGACCAGTTCATTTCGATCAAGGAGCTGGGCTTGAAGACGCTCCCGCACCTCTGCTTCGACCTCGCCGGACCGCCTCCACAGAATCTCTCGCACCCACGCACCGGACAGCTGAACACGTATCTCAACTTCTTGCTGACGAAGAAACAAGGAGGGTGAGGTAGGTCAACTACCTTGCTCCACACTCCACTGCTGCTCTTCTCAAAAAGCCACACGCCAAAACTTCTTCCCAGAAGCACAAGCGCTGCAGGCGCGGCACACATGCCAGGCAAACAAGCTCATGGGCTCCGCAATGTATACTACAATGATATGGCACTTGACAGCTCCCCTTTGGTTTCTTCTTGCAGGCGCTTGGATCAAGGGGCGCTGGCAATCTGGTCATTTCTCTCTGCTTGAAGACAGCAGCAGCGGCTCGCGCTGGTTTCTTTGCGCCAAGTTGGGAAAATACATGTGGCTACGAACTAACACTGCCACCTGCGGGCCACAATACCAGACCTGTCCGTCTAAAACGGCGCACCACTTGACGTGAGAAGAACCCCCGTCCCATCGAAACCATAAAACCTAACAGCTTATAGGCACATGAGCTCACGCAATGATTACCCGTGGTGGGGTTGCAGGGGCTGGGCCTGCGGGCTCTGCGAATTCCCGCCCATTTGGGGCGGTTGCTCCCGGTTGCTGGCCTGTTGGTGCACCCCTGTGTCCTGGAACAACGCCCGCCTCCTTGAGAGATGCTCACGCGGCAGGCCTTCAAGCCAAGCTCTCTCTGTGATACAAAATCTGGTTGCTGCGGTTGCCACTCCAGGTGCGGAGGACCCACTGTGGAATCCTTGTGCTCAGGGCGACGCAGCCACCCAAGCCGCGGATATTGACGTAGCACCTGGGTCGTCCCACTCATGTCATCTGTGCCCGACATCTCAGAAAGTTAGCCGTCGAGACCCATGGGTCTAGGTCGGTAGGATGTCTTTCTTCAAGGTCCAGCTAGTCTCTGAGCCCAGCTCGTAGCAGAACACTACGGCTGATAACCTGCGAGTCGGTGAAGTGTCGGTCGACCGTTTGACAATCGCTCCTTTTATCACTTGAGCCAAATGTAAGGGAGAAGTATGTACAGAATGGATACTGTATCGGTATATGCAGTGTGCATACTACTCCTGCGCTACTCGCAATCAGAGCTTCAGACCCAATCTTTCAGCCTGGCATCAACTTGTACCTGGCTGCTTCACAACTTCACAAGCTTATGTGTGTGGAAACGAATGTGGCATCCGACTTGCCTTTGAAGTTGCCATTTCGCTGAACTCCACTTCGACTAAAGCCAGCTGAATGGTTGCTGCAACAATGAGGGTGAGTTGACAGGAGACTCACGTACAGCTGTCACTCTAAAGAAGAAATGGGCATGCCAGTTCAAAATACCGTGATAAAGCGAGTGCTCATCTTCCAGTAACAAAATTCAGCAAAAGGTTGCCTTGTTCCTTGTTCCTAGACCTGAAATAATACTCTCGAGTTTTTGAGCCGAAGAAAAAAGGGGCTGGTAGTGAGTATGAACAAAGCTTGAGCAAACAAAGCACGGGTCAATGAATCTCAGTGAACGAAATTGCCACTCTTTCTAGCTTGACCACCGGCGCCATTTAAGCTTGGCATGCTTTTAATTTGAAAGTGCTATACAATTGAATTTCTAGCGGCAGTCTTGATCAATAGCGTAAAAAACAAAGAAAAAAACAGTCTGCCACTGCACAAGCAAAGCGAGAATTAAACATACACCGGAGTCACCGGGGCGATCATCTGGAAGGTCAACGGTTCCCTGCATTGACCCTGCTCCACCTCAGTTTCCATACCCGCAACGCATCTTTCCAGTGCATGTAAGCTATTAGCGGCTCGACCTGCCTCCGTGGCCAGGGTCTTGGAAAGATTCCGCTTGGCCTGCAGTGTGCATTGTTGTGGAAACATGGCCGGGCAAACCATCACACACAATGAGGTGATGAAGGAGAAGCAACCTACATTACAGTAGGATAAACTAAACTTACTGTACACAAGCCCCCAGCCACACAACCGGATATAATGCCACACGTGACATTTCTCCTGTTCAACATGGATCGATTAAAAATTGTCACTGACAGCATGTGTTTCTCATGAGCATTTCGCCAATCATGTCCATCTCGAACCATGGCTGGGACGAGGGCACATCATATTGCAGGAACTTTGGTTAGAAATCTGCCAGTATGGACATAGGGCTTGGCTTAAACAATCACACGGCAAACTGCCTGAGGAGAACCGAAATGCCAGTACGATGTTTGCCACCCAAGACCAGCGAGCACCAAACACATGATCAAGGTACAACACCTGCTGCCTATGGTTCAAGACCAGTAGCATTCAGACCCACTGGTAAAAGGGAGCGTAGACTAAAACCATCCTCCAAAATTTGGGTACATTAGAATATATACGTTAAAAAAAGAACTGTATAGAATCAAGAGCAACTAGAAAATGCATGTAGTATAGGATCGAGCTCACAAGATCAGACAGACATGTCAGGAAAAAACAATAGGCAAAAACATGACTTCTGTAGAATCAAGATGCCTGAGGATAAAAGCCACAACAAAAAATACATCAATGGGACGCAAGCCCCGTGATTCTGGAGTAGCTACAAGGGCACAGGAATTCCTCAGGCCGGCAAAAATGCTGTGCAAAAATTGAATGCATAGCTTTGTTTTGAAATTGGTGTGATAGTGGTTCAAACTGGATATTGCTTAACATTTTGTTAAAGTACTCTTTTCTAAATTGGTCATCTTCTGGCACTGGCATGGTTTGCAAACCATTTGCAAAGCCAAGGACTGCGAAATAGAAACACAAACTCTTTCTACCTCTTCAAGCCTAAAACCTCTATAGAATCATAGGACCTGAGTTTAGAAGAAAATGGAAATGCAAAAAAAAAGGAAAAACTCAGCTGCCACAACCTTCTCTTGTGCCTGCACACCCTCTTACCTAAAAATGGTGATTTAGACTGCCGTGTTTTTAACTTAAAAATAGTAAGGTTTTTGGAGCATAAACTACCCCATTTTAGACAGGTTAGTTGCAAAGGGATCTAAAATCCTGGGATCTTTGGTTCTGCATCACACAAACACGACGTACCAGTGGGAACCAAAGGGGGCTGCAAGGAAGGAGACCACCATGAACCCCAGTGATTGGGACGAGAAGCTTCACCCTGCAACCAGGAACACCAGCATCATTCCATTGCAAGGACTATGACCATTTGGGCCATGACAAATGTGTCTTTGTTTAGCTTTAGGCCACACTGAGGAGAAATCTCTTCTGTCAGGTCCAAGATAAGTTTAGAGATTGATAATTGTCTGTGGAATATGTATCTTGCAACTTGACAAACACAGTTGTAACTTCCTACTTTTCTGGGCTAGCAACCCTCTTTTCCAGATTAGAGATTTGCTGTGATTGGCTCTCCCTTCTCCATCAAACCTCTCTCTCTCCTTCCCTGCTGAGATTTCCAGCAGACTCTCCACTGTGGATTGCCAACTTCATGTTTGTTCTTCAGAATCTCAAAGCCGTGCAAGCTATCAACGATAATACTGCTTAGATAAAAATACAGCAAGCCCTCCTGTGGCGTATGCCTTTTGTGCCAGCTTGCTAACTTGATCCTCGTGTGCGTTAATTTTGAGAGGCATCTCGTTCTCTTGCTCTGCAAAATACCCATCAGCCTCAAGCTTTTCGTCCAAGTGTTTCATATAGCCAAATCTCCAGTCGCTCATGGCCTGCCAAAAAGCCAGGCAACGAATGTGCATGGATTTGGATCATCGTAGCCGAGCCTGCATCTCTTGCTGAGCATGAATGAGCAGGTCCCTTCGCAACTCCTGCAGTCTACAAACCTGCACCAACAAAGAAACAACAAATTCCATGGTCATCAATGGTCCATGTTCCAGCGGAATCCTTCAACGCATCTTTGAGCTGCACGTGCTCTTTCTGCACCTCTGGAACAAAACAAACATGATAGAAAGACCTCCTTTGGCAAATCTTTGCTTTCTTTCACAGACCTCCTTGGGTTCACGAAGCCTGCCCGGCCTGTCCCCACTCTTTGTGCATCTGCTCTCTTGCATGGAGTGCCGAGGAGGCTTCATTTCCTTTTCTGATCGAATTCATGCCATTCAATTCTCTGGGTCTAGGCGCTTTATTGCTTGGCTCAAATGCGTCCTGCTTCATTTGCATCAGCTTCAGATCTCAAAAGATTGGCCAGCGCGACATTGGTTGACTCCTCCCCGAGTCTGAAGACTCGAGTTTGCAGACAATCCGCCGGCCTGCCGGCGTGTTTTGTGGATTGTTTTGGTTAGTATTGCTTGTATTCGTTAGTATTGCTTGAGTATTGTCTCTCCGCGCGAGATTTTCGACAGCCTGACGCCCCCCCCCCCCCCCCCCCCCCCCGCTCCCCGGTAGTGGTGGTGGTAGTAGTAGTAGTAGTAGCAGCAGTAGTAGGTAGTAGGTAGTAGGTAGTAGGTGGTACGTAGTAGGTAGTAGGTAGTAGGTCGTAGGTCGTAGGTCATAGGTCGTAGGTCGTAGGTCGTAGGTCGTAGGTCGTAGGTAGTAGGTAGTAGGTAGTAGGTCGTAGGTCGTAGGTCGTAGGTAGTAGGTAGTAGGTGGTACGTAGTAGGTAGTAGGTAGTAGGTCGCTGGATCAGAATAGACAACCATTGGACTGAGACATGTCGATCGCTGGATCAGAATAGACAACCTCTGATTCGGATTCGTTCCATTTCATTGTAAAACGACTTCGCTTGAAATCCACAGCAACAAACTCTCCCAGCAAAATGTGCAACTCCAATGCACCCACAAGTCTGATTGAGCAGGGTATTGTTGTTCGATGTCATTCTTTTTTTTCCAGCCATACCTCGCGCCGACCTGGTCCGGACGGGCTTATTGCAAGGCGTTGGCACAGCCAAAGAACGGTAATTAAAAATCTCTGTTCAATGCGGCTGCATATATTCTTGCATCATCGGTGTTTTCATCGAAATTATGATGTCTCAAAACGTTTTCGTATGCAAATTTCTTTGTGATATGCAGCCAGTTTTGCCTCGGTTTCCCAACTCGTTTGGTGCCGTAATCAACTCTGGATGCAGTGCTATCAACGAATGATACTTGTCTCATGGGGTCATCATTACTGCTTCTAATTATATGCCCGAGTAATTTACATCTTCTGTTCATATGGTAATCACTGAAAGGTATAATTTGTCTGTTATCACCCCGAGTTGGGAAGGCAATGGCAGTTGCTTCCTCAAGAATCTTTTGATTCGTACATGACCGATCTATGAAAGTAGGCGGTCTTTTGAGAATCTTTCTCAAGCTTCTTAATTGGAAAGCATCTAGTGATTTGCTTAGCGCCTGGGTTAAATGTATAGTTTCCAACCCATATAAAGCTTACTCCGGATTATGGCATCAAAAATGATTAGCTTCCACTTTTTGCTGGCTCCAGAAGCTTTCCAATAGGCGCTGAGCTTGAACCAGGTCCTTCTGACCTCTGACATTTTATTGAGGATTTCATGTTTTATATTTACTGTCCTGTTTATCTCATTTCCAAGATACATGGCCTCAAATTCTTTGTTCAAAGGGGTCCCGTCATGAAAATGAATACAACCGTCGTTGTTCATAGTGATAGCAACGCATTTGTTTTTATTGAGACCAAGTCCGTATCCACTGGAGATTTTCTCTGTCAATTTCAGCAATTCGTTTAATGCTCGGTTGTTCCGTGAGAAAAGTACAGTGTCATCTGCATAATAGATCATGTCAAAATTAACCCCTGGGATTTGATTATTTGTCACATAAGCGGAAATACTTTGTTGAACGTCAATGTCGATGCAGGTCATGACTAATACAAATAGGAAAGGTGACAGTAGGCAACCTTGTCGGATCCCAGAACATTGAACTTTAAAATCGGAACAACCGAATTCGTCCTTGACATAAAACTGAGGCTTTGCATAACAGTCTGCGATGACTTCTGTATACTGCGAATTGAAACCCTGTCGGCCAAGGGCAACAAGAAGCTTGTCATGTTGAATTTTATCGAGTGCTTTTTCCCAATCTAGGAAGGCAATGCTCAGCTTCGCCCCCTTAATTTCGGAATAATCTTGAATTCGTCTGAGAATATAGATGGCATGTGAAGTAGACTTGCTGGGCCTGAAGCCGTACTGGGTTTTAGACAGTAGATGCTCTGTGGCTGCCTGCATTCTGGTCCTGATCATCACCATGTATATTTTATAGAAACTGTTGAGTAAGGAGATTGGTCTGTAATTGGAAGCAATATCTGTATCCCCTTTCTTGAAGATAGGGACAACACGGGCCATGAACAATGCCGACGGCGCAGTTTTTGTATTCCACCAGCTGTTGATAACAAATAAAAGAACCCGCCGGTTGGCATTGTCCAGCCACTTGATCAGTTCCATAGTTAGACCATCAGGGCCAGGTTGTTTATTGGGCTTTGCCGCCTTGATGGCTGCACAGAGCTCCTGTATTGTGAAACTCTCTACTCCTGCATCGTTGCTATCTACAAGTTTGCTGTGGTTGATTTCGTTTTCAGCTTGGTTGCTCCAGTGTTTTTGTTCTAGATAGTTCGCTATAGTCTCAGCGCGTTGGGCCAAAGGGACATGCTGACCATCCATGTTCTTCATTTTCACATAATTGGGTATGAATTTCTTTTCTAATCCCTTAACCGCTCTCCATAAACCTTTCTTATTGGGATCTTGGGGGTTCTCATTGAATTGTTCTATCAAATGGTCTTGCCTGTCCCTCCGGGCCATTCGGGCAATTTCCCTGTTGAGGTTCGTTATTTCCTTTGCTGTGGTTCCGTTTCGGGCCTTTTCGTTTCTCTCTTCAATTTTTGCCCAAGTACTTTGACGGATAATTTTTTCGTTTTATTCGGAGGTTCTATCCTTAGTGAGCTTGCGGCCGCGTTTTTCATGGCCTCTGTGAGTGAATCCAAGTCGCATCTTTTCCCCTCTAGCAAAGACCGAATGTTATTATTGTAGAAAATCCATCTGTCTGAGTCAGGTTTCGCATATCGCGACGTACGTGGCGCATTATCCTTTTTAAATGTAGGGAAAGAAATATTGAGCTTGCATTCCAACACAAAATGGTCTGAATCAAAACGAACATCTAATCTACTTTGGATATCTGATATTGCTCTTTGCTCGATCTGCCCACAGAGCCAGTAATCGATCTGTGCATATTTTATTGCGTCATATGGGGGGCCATTGTATTCTTCGTTTTCATCCATATGGACTTTTTCCTTGTAAGTGACTAACTTTTCAGGCGGTTTCGAAAACAAGCTGTTTGCAACTTGAAGGCGGTGTGATTTGCAAAACCCAAGGAAAAGTGCCCTATGTTCTTTTGTATGTTCATTCATGTTATCTAGATATTCCATTCCTCTGCCTATGATATGTGGTCCACATACATCGATATCGTTGTCTCTAACGTAATGAATACGGCCGTTGAAGTCTCCTCCAATCAAGAAGCGCCCTTTTATTCCTCAATCGATGTCATTCTGGGTCTTTCATTTCAAACGGTTTGGAGAAAAAAACGACAAATCATGCCAGATCTAGAAATTCTTCGGTCGCTTTGAAGCCTTCTGTGTGTGAAAAAGAATATCTGGTGCGTGTCGCAATCCCTCGAGATGGTCGAAAAAAAGATCTGAAAAGGAAAACATGCACACGGCCAAGTAGTTTGGAAGAAGAATCGTTTTCAAGGTCATGCTTTGTGGATAGTCTTGGTTCGCATTGCTTGTGTTGGTTTCACTTGGTTCCTCTTAGGTGATTCGACTGAGACATGCCGATTCGGATCGCTGGATCAGAATAGACAACCTCTGATTCGGATTTGTTCCATTTCATGGTCAAACAACCTTGAAATAAACATCAACAAACTCACCCAGCCAAATGTGCACCTCCAATGCACCAACAAGTATGATTGAGCAGGGTATTGTATCATTAAGCTGCCTGCCAATGCGGGCTCGAGCTGGTGGCCGGCGGCATGCCGAAGGCTGTAAATAAAAAGAGATCCAAGATCTTGGTACTTGAGCAACAAAACAAATCCTGCTTAGGCGCACGGTTGTTTACACTCTGTGACTTGCACGTCGCGGTTGGAGGTAAATGAAGATCCAAGCTGGACCCGCACTAAAGAAGACGCCAAGCCATCATATTTGAACAAAAGGACAAGCTTTAGCTACACAAAGTCCCCACTACTGTCTCATGGTTTTCAGGGTGATCCACCCTTCCTGTTGAAAGTGAAGAGAGGGAGTAGAGGGCTATCCAGAACAAAGACCATATTCAAAAAAAACACAGGTCATTTTCTAAATGTCGACCAGGTGCTAACTACAGGTTTTCGTGTCTCTGAACAGTGTGAGCACATTTGGCCTGCCGCAAGTTACAGGACAAGTCAACAGTGTCCTGTTGTTTTCTGACCGTCTCCTTCAACTCCAAAGTTTCACCAGCCTGAATTTCAGACAAAGAAAAGAGCTGCTGCTCAGATATCGCAGCAAGTGTTCACAACGATTTTAGCATTTCAGCCTGCTTCTCCAGTTGATCCAAGAGTTCAGCTCTGGAGTACTCTACCTGCCCATGCAATGTCCTGCTAAAGTTTCGTGACAGCTGTGGCGCGTCCGCACCTTCTTGATTCGCTGCCGGCAAGCTGCCTGGCTGCTCACTTGTGATCTACAGTTCTACACTGTTTGTGCTATTCCACATCCCAGCACTCCTAATCCGAAGCCTTCAACTCCATTCGCTTTTGTCGTTCGTCTGCAACTTGTCGTGCGAAGGCACCCTCTTCCTGCAGGTTGAAATAAAATAGTTGACAAAAGAAAACAAATGACAACAATGTGTTTCTAGTCGTGTCTTACTCTGAGGCAATAGCACTCTTCATTTCCTCGATATTGGTCTGAAGTCGCTCTTGCTCCAGTGACAATGCTTCCTGCAATTTTGCATGTAGAAACTGCTTTGACAACACATGATTGTAACAGGCGAATGCTGCCTATACAGGGCATCTTGTCAGTATGCCCTATGCCTATGCCTAGGTAAACCCCACTAAGTCACTAAAGGCGTTCTTGCGGTGGATGCAATAAAGGCCAGGTTTTAGATCGAGCGAGGCTCGCATCTTGATGACATGTTGCACTTGAAGGTGTAACGTCAGTATGAACCTCTGACAATCAGGAGGGACCTTTTGGAGCCTGGCGCAGCACTTTGAGGAACCAATTTCATGGTGGGCGCGGTGCTTTGTGGCCTTGGGGCTCCGATTTGTGGCCAGGGCTGCCATTGGACCTTGAGAATATTGTGGGCGCAAAACTTTGAATTTTGTGGGCGTATTTTCGAGATCCTACGAATAGATCTTGCACCAAAGGTTCTGGCAGAGATCATCAGGGATTGTGAAGAGCATCCAGATCCTTTATGAAATGCGTCTTCAAATATTCTGAAGATATACACAGGTCGTGTGCAAAGATCATAAAGAAATCTTTGCCACAGCTCTTTTGCAGAAATCCTGTAAGGAGTTCAAATCCTGCCGAGATCCTTAAGCAGTTCTTCAAAGTGGTTTTGATATAGTAGGAAGATCCTGAAGAAAACACCCTGAAATAACATATTTTCTAGAACATAAGAAGATCCTGCAAACATCCTGTAAAAAGGCCAGAATAGGTCTCTCAGAAATCCTGAAGATGTCTTGCAGGGACTGAAGAGACACAAAGTTTCGCAGAGATGTCAGCCAAGCATTCTTGTGCAGAGACAGTGGAGGAATGCATGCAAAAAATATTGTGCAAAGATGCAGAGATGTTGCATGGATGAGATCTTTCACATTTCTTGTAAAGAAATACCTTCTTCCGCAGATCTGATATCATATCGTTTTATTCTTATTCAAGCGATCTTGCAATGATCACAAAGCTGTCGACACTATATGTATCATCTACCTGCTGAAACCCGCATGTTGCGTCTCATTTAAGATATTGTGGCGTCGCTTGCCGGAGCGACAAGGTTCTCTACTTGGCACAGGCCTTGGAGTATGTTGTTTTGCATCATTTCGGATGTTCGAAAATCATATGTTGGAGTTGGATTGCAATTTTCCGCGTGTGAAATCTACTGTCGAGATGCGATTGTCTGTGCAATTCAATTCCGGGGCTGGATTGTGATTGCTTTTGTTGCACTTCAAAACTAGTTGCTTCGGTAATTCTGCATGTCAAGTCCAGCTGTTGTAGAGCGTATTCCTTTTGCATGTCTGCTGCCTGCGCTAGCCGCCAGCATCGCAGAAAAACCTTCAAGAGAGAAAAGGTGCACCGGTGGAGAAAAAAATTGACTTTCCATAAATATCGAGCATGTGAAATGCAGATGCAGCCCTGTCCCAGAAGTGCAACTAAAATGGACAGTAAAAAGAACAACCCCTGCAGAAGTACAAATATATGCGACCAAATAGAGCAAGACAAGCAGCATCAATGCAAAGGCCTGCAACAGAGTCTTGGGCAAACTCGGTTTTTCGGTAGAATGTAGGGTTAGTAAATTTGGTTTCACTTCTGGTTCAAAAATTTTGATGCCTTCTTACCACTTTAGGTAAAGGACAAGGTGTCGGATTCGGAGTCAGGGTCGGGAGCTCTCACGTTTGTTCCTTCCCGAATGACTCTAGCTGGGGCTGCTCGCTTCCAGGCCTGCTTCAGGAGAAAGAAACCTGATCCGCAATAGATGCGCGCATGCAAACCACCGAGCAATCGTCTCAAACATCTTCCGAACAACGCTACCAGATGACGGGTGGACCATCCCGCGGAGGCCCCAAGATCGACCAGACCATTCGCGTCCACCGCTGCATAAGTCTTGCAATGGATCCCAGGGGTGGGCATGAGCTCCAATGGACAATTCTGTTCGCGGCGCAAGTGCACTTTGCTTTCCGTCTCTAGACTGTGGCGAATTGGCCTGGAAGTAGCTCCTTTCACTTCCCGGATTTTCACCCGCAGACGCAGTCACTAGCGTGGAGCGTATATACCCATCTGTCCCACCCCACCAGAACCCGGCCACGCCGAGCAACACGCGATTGGTCATCAAAACCGGCCACTTGATGAAGTGGAGCATATGGCGTGCGTGTTGTGCAATTCTCTTCCCAGCATGGAAAAGTTCTTTCCCATAAACTCCATCGGCAACCTCCACAGTCAGAGTTCCGCATATTCGAGCCAAGAAGACGTCCATCTTCCTTGACGGATGTCAGGAGGCCCTTTTGGAGCCCCTTGTCCTCGTCATGTGACTTTCGCAGCCCGTCAATGGCATGGATGACCCTGTCTGTGTTTTGGGTCTGAGTCCCATCTCCAAGGACCTCTGCAAAGGTGGCTCCAGCTTTGTCCTCCTGGGCTAGGAGTGCCAGCCGGTTTGATCAGTCCGCCCCCTGCTGGACTTCCCCTTTCGGAAGAGGGCAGGCGTAGCTTGGGATGTTACAGTAGCCCCTCCGAAGAAACCAACTTGGCTGGGGTCGTCTCATCGGGGGGGGCTCAAGATTCCACACCTGAGGCAAGCTTGGAATATGTCCCCAGACCGGGTGGAACACCTGGATCGGAGGGGGCTCCATATCGCTGCGCCAGGTGTTCAGGATCGACCTCAAAAGCCGCGCCAATGGTATGAATGGCTTCTTTGCTCAGGACTCCAGGTCCCAAATTTCTCCACCTTGCTATTGCGGCCGACATCACGTCCTCTTGATCCTCCTCCTGCTCGGCAACTGGGAAGCTTGGTAGTGGAGGAGAGCTTCAGTTTTTTCTGAGCTAGCCGCAGGCCGTGGGGGTGTTTGGAACTCGTTGGATTTCAGTTCCGGTTCTGGCCCCTGTTTGAGATACGCGTCAGCGTGAGGTAAGATTTCTCTGACCGCCCGTCTTCGCTAACTCTCTCTGGCGCAGGGTCTCTGACAGGGTACCTGACGTCTGTGAACTTTCCTTCCCATTTTCGCAAGGCATCCGTGCAAGGAGGTTGGAGCCTGCTAACTGCCATTGAGAGGCCTTGCCCCACAGGGTGGTCGTGGGATCCATAGAGAAAATCTGAAACCCATTGGCGACTGAACCTTCCCCACGCATCCTCAGCTGGAGCAGCCAAGCCCAGGCGTGAAGACATTCACCTTTTCTTGCGCGCGGCTGTCAGCCGAAACTCCTTGGAGACTACCAAAATATGCCACCCACCGGGGGGCCTCCAGGTTTGTGACAAGACCTGAAGCGGGGCCCTGCTGGAGGGATCCCTCATGCTGTTGGCTGGATTGAGGTCCCGCTGAAGCTGCGCGCGCTCTGTTGGGAGTGCCTCTCTCTTGATTTCTTGAACGGGGAGGTCGAGCCGGAGGTTTGTCACGCTGTTCCCCTTCCGGGTTTTGGTGCACGACGTCGGAGTCCCGGTGTGGCGCCCTCTATAGGCGCGCTATCCTCCTGCCCCTCGCTCCAGCTGATTCTGCGGGTAGCGGGCGGAAGAGCCGATTTCCACCAAGTGTTTTCTACGAAGGGGAACCCCTTGTTTGGCTCCATCCACTTGCTCATGGCAAGAAAGAACGCTACATTTCCGCCGGGAGCAAGCCGCAATGTACTGCTGTCGGTGGTGGTCACAAAGACGGGCAGTGCATCGATTGGAGATGTCGGACAATTCACGGTCCCTTTCTAATAGCCGGACTCCCTCCCCAGTCGCCTTGTCGGCGCAGCGGTCTACTGCCAAAGCTCGAGGTCTGCCTCCAACTTCCAGCCCGATTAGGACCGCCTCTTTGAGAGTTCCATCTCACAATGCCAGCGCGCCATGGCTTGTCGCGCTGGTTTCGATCAGCGTGGGGCCACTCGCAGCCTTGATGCGGCCGTGGGATTGGTTCTTCTCAACTGAAATGGCGGTGGAAAAGAGCGAGGCTCCCTCGCCTAAGCCTCAGTTTCGGGGGGAGGAAGATGGTTGCCTGGTCCAGGCGCAACTGAAACGCTGCAAGGGCATGCATACTTTTGGGGCTTCTCCGAGTTCCGCCTCGATAGGGCCCGCATGGTTTAGTACCCCGGGGCAAGCTGAGAGTTTGAGGTCCACAGGTGGGGGCTACATGCCTTAGATAAAATTGGCGTGTTAGCCTGCAGCGATTTCTGGCCTTGAATTGGATGGGGAGCGCTCATCCTCTATGTGGCCGTCTCGTCAGGTCCGGACCTGTTGACCTGCTGTTGCAGGCAAACTCGAGCGGTGGCAACCGAGGTTGGGGAGTTCCTCCCTGAATTGAGGGTTCGTGGAACCTATGAATCCCTACCCTTCATAGGGGTCCATCCACTCAGAGTGGGGTCGACTCCGAGTTCTTCCAACGAGGAGCTAAAGGCAGAGGATCTGAAAGAAAACCAATTGACTTAAAGTGGTCTCCTTGGACGAACAGATTGCAAGGATCAAGCCTGACGGAGACCACTGGCACCGCCCGATCTGAACAGATGGACAGTTGGGCGCCTTCCTCAGACCACAAAGCTGAACCAAGGGTCAAACCCCCAGGACTTTTCAACGCCGTGGTTGAGGTATGCCGAGAACTCGATCCGAGTTTTCGGCGCCTGCTATGGCCTCTGCCTGAACTCCATTGAGGAGGTGGAAGAGGAAGACGGCGAAAGCGCCCAAGCTAAACTTGAAAGAGAGCCCAACTGGCGCACCCAAAAGTGCTTATCCAGCAGGAAAGCGTTTGACGCAAGAAGAAGCTTCGCATTCCGTGGAGCACGCGCCCAAAGACCCAAAGACTGGGAAGCCGATCTGTTGGGGCGCAGCAACACACATGGGGTGCCAGAAGGGGAGCAAGTGCCCTCACGCACATGAACCTCTGCCTCGACTACTCAGCGGCGACGCAGGGTGGCTCAGCTTAGGTTGCAGGCCCAGCCCGATCGGGATGAGAAGAAGCAAGCCCCCAAGCCGAAGCAAGCCTAAGGTCCAGGCGAACGTGGAAGCCTGAGAGTTCCGGCGATCCGCCGGAAGGGGACTATGCGCAGCGACACCGCAACCCTGCTCACGGATGAAAGCAGGACACCAATTCCAGAGCACAGGACTCCGCTAGCGATGACTCGCGGGCGAAACGATTCTGAGAGAGGGGAACTTTGAGCTTATAACAATTCATTTCTTCGCGGCAATACTCCATTGCCTTCGCTGGCTCAACGGGAGGAAAGCCAGGTGATCTGCCGACGCGAAACGAGGCGGCCCATCACCGACAAAAGGAGTCAGCCTGCATGCTCCGTTTTGGTAGTTGCCTTTTGTAACTAACTCGGTTCTTTGGTAGAATGTAGGGTTAGTGGAATTTGGCTTCACTTCTGGCTCAAGAGTTTTGATGCCTTCTTACTACTTTAGGCCCTCTGCCCGCCCCACGAAGAAGCCAGGTGAACCTTGGCACCTCTCAGGGTGATCTGCCGACGCGAAACGAGGCGGCCCATCACTGACAAAAAGGAGTCAGCAGCCTGCATGCTCCGTTTTGATAGTTGCCTTTTGGGCTGGGGTCACAAGAGAAAGACAAAGAAAGAGAAAAGGTAAACAAATAAACCAAAATAACAGCGGTGACGTAGTCGTCGTAGTGGTGGCAGCAATGGTAGCTCTTAACAACTGTTGGAGTGGCGGTTGTAGCTGTGGCGGTGGTCAAATGGTATTGGTTGCGCTTAAGATTGGCTCTCCTTGGGGCTGGCAAATCACACTTGGGCCAGAATCCATGCACGATGCCATTAATCTCACCAAAAACAGGGTAGAAAATGCTTGCTCCAGCACCAGGCGAATGATACCACACCAAAAAGGCGATAAAATTAATACTCATGCCGTTAAATGAAAGGAACACTACAATCAATGGAAAGGTCGTTGTCTTTGCAACAATGAAAACAATGATTGATTGTTGCTTCGAAGCACGCGCCTCTTCCCTTTTGAGCAAACTGGTTTGTTGGACGCAACCCTCCACCTTGCGCAGCCACATCGACAGCGAGTCGAAATTGGTCACGTCGGTCAGTCGTAAATTGTCGCATCGGCCGGTTGAAAGGCTGAACCGTCTCTTTGGGAAACAGTGCCATTGGACTTTTGGCGCGTGATTTCAGCCGCGCGACTGTCCTCGCCTGGGTTTCAATGCAGCCAAGTTGGCGCCGCAATTTCTCAAGGCTTCTGCGAAGGCCTCGGTCACATACCACAGAGACATGCATGGGCCACATGGGTGGATGCATGTACCAGGTACAGTATTGTCCAGAAGGGCCGGTGCATGGAAGTTCCATGAAAGCAATAGGAAGCCTTGGTTGTAATTATGGCTGATGTGTTGCGGTGACATGATTCTTTGCAATGCAGGATAGTTCTATTTATATATATAAATATATACCGTTTCTTCCTTTTCTTTTTTCTTTGTTTCTGGGAGCGACGGCCTCCAACCCAAGAGCCATGGCCTCCAACCTACTAGCGATGTGTGACACATTATTTGAACGATCCGGCATGCGATGTACATGTAGTTTGCAGGGTCTCCCTTGAAGCAAATTTCCGCGCGCGACCAACTGCGGGGAACACACTACGAGCCATGTGGAGATTGCGCTGTGGCTGTGCATAGTGAAGATTGCTGTGAAAAGTGCAGAGAAATGGAAAAGTTGAAAAATTTATGCCTGTAGGAAAAAGACCCAGCTTTACAAAGAATTATATTTACGAACTATTGAATTACACCACCGTAGACCCCAAACAGTTTGTGTTTTTCTCACGAAACTCGGCCCTTTTGATCCTTGCTTTTGAGCCACTTGTTGCATAGATAAGAACAGATACTTCACTGCTCTTGACTGTACGTGTCATCCTTGTGCAGGGGTCATGTATGCTCTGCTATCTAGTGACACCCCGCCTTAAGGTTTCATGAAGCTAATGAAACCTTACCTTCAAAGAAAACTTCTAAATTCCATCAAAGTGAAACTTGCCACTCACTGCGGCCATTTCTTCGGCTCATGCGCTGAGTGACCATGTAGGTGACTTTTCATCACCCATCATTCCCTTCGTCGTCATCTTCGACCATTACTTCCTCTTCTTCGTCTTCACCGTAGTGGTGTGCAATCCATGCACTGGGATCTGCACTTTCTTCCAACGGCCCGTTGATGTCAGCCTCGTTGGGTCTGTTGCTGGTGTCTTCATTTGCATTCTCATCAACTTCACATTCACTTCCTGAGGTTGTCTCATTGCCTGAAAAGAACAAAAGGCTGCTGCCACTTTCAATCCACTTGTTGAAGGTTATCACGGCAGCATGAAAAGCCTTGGGCTTGTTCTGATGCATCATCCCAAGTAGATGCTGGAGGAACCGCAGTGTATTGCGACCTGACCTGATTTCATCTCGAAATGTAGCATCCCTTGTCATCTCCAGCTCTCGGATGCGCTCATTCAAATTGCTACAAGCAAATGTCAACGACACTTCTGGTCCATGCCCTTCGTTCAACAATCTTGTCCTCAACCTTTGAAGATCTTCTGGGAAAATGGGAACTCCCTCAAGTCCCCAAACCACCATCGACCTCATTGAGCCAAACCACTCTGAACCATCGATGCCCTCTGGCAAATCATCTTGCGGATTCAAGAACTGCATCAGCTCTTCTGCCACAAAATCAGAAACTGTCTGTTGCGCTATCTCTGCATCCATGCCTCTTGAGGAACTTGATGGTCGCTGACGTTGCTCATCTTCCCCTGCTTTTTCATCTTCATCTGGGTTCTCCATGGTGTGTACACCCTCATGCACAAATTTCCTTCTCATCATGGGTGTTTCTTCTACATCTTCTGTCTGTGGCACATCTTCATAGTACGGGTTTGGTCCACCCGCAACATCACCATTTCCACCTCCTGAAGCATGTGGAAGGTGTGAGTGAAGACCTCCTTCGAAGTAGCCACCTTCTCCTACTCCGTCTTCGCCACGATGGCTGTTGTAACCACCATGTCCATCTCCTTCATCATCGCCATAGTCGTCATAGTATTCATCATCGTTCTCTGAGTGAGCTGATTCTTCACCTTCTCCTTCTGCCATGAGAAGGAGATTCTCACGTCTCCTCAACTCCAGCTCATTCTTTAGGCCTCGCCACACGCACCTGTACCTCGCCAGTTGCGTCCTCATTCTCTGCACGTTAAAGACGAGAATGGCGATCACACTCATCAAAGTGAAAACTGCCCAGCACAAAATGCGTAGGCTCCATGCATTGTGAACCACTGCTTGCCTCATTCCTCCACATGTCATCTCTGAGGCTTCATCGTTGTTGCACCCTTTGAGTAGTCCATCAGTTAAAAGAACATGGATGATCCGCTGAACACTGGGCATCACCTCCTCCTTGAAACTTGAACTCCATAGTCCAATGAGCCTCGACAAGTACTCCCTCCTCTCTCGACTGAGGGATTTGGTGTTCAGGTCGCCCGGGCTGTCTTTGGTTGCAACGCGACCGATTCGATACCAGCCTCTTCTCATTGCTTCTTGCCCCCATAGAATCCTGGTGCCAAGACGCTTAGCTCTTCCAGGTCCAATCCTCTGGAAAAAGGCCTGAGCACTGGTGGAATCCAAGTACAACTTCATCTCAATCATGGACTCATCACCTGGGTCCTGCCGGCAACCAAGCAGGAATTGTAGGCCCTGCCCCAAAACGATTCCTTCTGCAAGAAGTCCGGTTGCGGCCAACACCTCTGCTTCCATTGACGACAAAGCAATGGACATCTGACCTCGGCTGTGGGAATGTATGCAATTCCCGTTGTGGAAGATCAAACCTGATGATGTCGATCTCCGGGAGCTCTTGGAAGTAGCCCAGTCCGAGTCGGAGAACAACTCCAACACATGTGGCTTGTGACTGGCCTTGACTCCCACATCAAGATGCTTCCACCTGCTGAACACCGTGGTGAACTCACCTGTCTGCTCATAGCGTAGGACCATGTCGGACGCGCCTTGCAAGTAGCAAGCCACCCTTGATTGCGGAGAGCGCGGTCTCGGCCGGCCTGCTCATGTAAGAGCTCAGGATCCTAGTGACATGTTGGATGTCCAACCTTTCTTGACTCAAACAAATCAGGATCCCAAGAGCTGACCGAAATGTCTGAGCTTCTTTTGCACCTAGAAACTCCTCCTCTGGTGTCGCCTCAGCATCATAAACATCGAGGCTTGCCTGCGACGGGACACCTCTCTCTCTGCGCTCCTGCCCTCCCAGCAAGCTGCTAAGTTTCGGCACATACTTCTTGTTTGCAGCAATTTCGAGACCTCCCTCATCGAAGGTGATCCTTCTCTTAAGGTAGAACAACGTTCCGGGTCTCTCAACTCCACATGGCCCGTCAGCTTTTAGCTTGAGCTTCTTTGAGAAATGCTCAACAAACAACGGTGACATGCCTCTTCTCCAATTAGGATGATATCATCTATGTGCGACGAGAGAAACTGCTTCTCTGTTTCATGTTTGGCGTGCCTCCGTGAAATGAGCAGGACTGAAATTCAGCGCACAACTTGGAGAAATGTCGATTCCATTCCAACGCCGCATTGCGCTGGCCAGGTAGACATCGTTGGCGTTTCCAGAACATGAGGTTCGGCTGTTGCAAGATCGTTCGAACCCAGCTAGGGACCTCAATCACCACAAACTCACGCTGCTTTACCTGCAAAAAGGCATCTGAGATATCCATCACGGACACCATCAACCTCATCGCGATGCTCAATGACAGCAAAAGTTTGATGAATGAAAGCGGACTTGTGGGGCTGAATGTCTCCATGGGTGATGCGGCTCCACCACGAAACTCTCTGGCAACGAGCCTCGCCCTTCGAATCCAACATGATTCTCTGAATCGCCAGTCGAAGACGATGCGGGTATCAAGCTTCACTGCTTCCTCAATGTTGTCGCTCGGCTCTACATTCGCCAGCACTTGTAGGTCATCAAGACGAGAAACTTCTGCAAGCATTGCTTGTTGATCAAGCACTTGCAACTCTTCTTCACTCACCTGTGGTCCGCGGCCCTCATCATAGAAACCTCGCTTCTTCATGTCCTCTTGTGTCAAGAAGTTCGAATCCTCACAATGATCCTGCTGTTCACTCCAATCATAGCTATCGATCTCTTCATACTCAGCATCCGGTTCATCCTCAACGTAAAGATCAAGCTCTGCAACCTGTCGTACTGCACAAGTGCTCACATCTGACGAAGATGAAGTTTTCAACGCCTTCGAACTTGGCTCTGTGATCGGAGTCTCCGGATCAAAGCGAACCGACTTTGCCTGCTCTCTCAAGTCCTCTGCCGCCTTCTTCTTGGACTGAGCATGGTCATATCGACCTTTCTGGACACGCTCTGGCTGTGGACTCCCTTCTAATGCCCTCTTTGGACTGCCTTCCACTGCTGATGCTTCTGCTGCTGCTGCTTGCTGTCCTGCTGTTGCTTGTTGTTGTGTTTCTGCAGCGGCGGATGTATCTGCTGTTGCTTGTAGTTCATAGGTAGCCCCGCCTGTCTCTGACTCCTTAGGCTCACCCACTTCCTGATCTTCATCAGGATGGTCAACAGCGTACTTGATCACGTCTTCAGCATCAGGATCAACACTTGCTTTTGCAATCTTTGTTTTCCTTTCGGGCTTTTCAGGAACATCTGAAAGAAGTTCAGGAACTGGTGCGCTAATGGGTTTTGTTTCGATCTTGGTATGGGCACCACGCTTCATGTCCCATGGTCCAACCATTGCTCCCACAAGCAACTCACCGTCCCAATGTTCTCCAGTCTTCCTCACACCCTTACAGCGCACAATCTCATTGGCGCCAACTAGGGCCAAATCAGGATCCATGGCATCTTTTCCTAGCCAAGCTCCTGGTCTCCATTGCGACTTGTCATGCCAGTTGCACTTGTCACGTGATATCTGTTCAACAACCAGCATGCATGGACCATCGACCAGGCTTGAAGCACGTGCAACTCATCCAACACCACCCTTGCTCTGTCCTGCAGATGTGATATCAATGTTTTTGCCTTGCGCTCGAACTGTCTGAATGCATCTCTCAGCCAATGCCGTTCTTGCCTTCTCATAGAACTTTCCAGGCTGAAGAATTGTGTGGAGACCGTTGTTGGATCTGATCAGCTTTGTCATTCGTGCACCAGCTGCTAATGCAGGTTCGTTGTCATAGCTGAGCTCCACGGTCTCATAGTGACCTAAATCTGCCAGAAATTCAGCCATGGCTTCACCTATCACTCCTGCAACCTTGTTCTTAAGAGGTTTGATGTACAGGAACTTGCTCCACGTGTCAACACATAGGAGTAAACAATTGCCAGCTGTTTGGTAAAATAGGTCAACTTGCACTGTTGGATGTGTCCTCTCAGCGATGTCCTTTGGGTCACTTGCATACTTCAAGTTGCTGGCGTCCGCCCTTTTCCGCTGGCCACGTAACAGTTCTATTCATTTGTTGAGGTGGGCGGAAGGCCTTGGCGCGGTGCTAGCCTGGCTTTGGATGGTATACTCCATGCCCTCAGCGGTGGCCGGTGGCTGCATCGCCAGCGGAAAAGGGCGGACACCAGCAGTGACAGACCTGGGAGACAAATGAATAGAAATGTTGCATGGCCAACGGAAAAGGGCAGACACCACCAACCTGGGAGACAAATGAATAGAAATGCTACATGGCCAGTGGAAATGGGCGGACACCAGCAGTGACACAAAGGGCGGACACAGTAAACTGTTTGGGGACTGTGAGACAAATGAAAAGAACTGGCAGACAAATAAAAGGCAAATGCAAGGAAGTGGGAGACAAGCCAGCCGGGAACCGGACCGCAAGCACCCAGCCTGGGAGTCCTGGAGACAAAGTGGGAGACAAGCCGGCCGCACCGAGCCTGGGAGACAAATGAAAGGAAGTGGGAGAGAACCCGACCGCAAGCACCCAGCCTGGGAGACAAATGAAAAGAAGTGGGAAACGTATGAAAGGAAGTGGGAGACAAGCCGGCCGGGAAACCGACCACAAGAACCCAGCCTGGGAGACAATGAAGAGAAGGGGGAGACAAGCCAGCCGGGAACCCGACCACAAGCACCCAGCCTGAGAGACAAATGAAAAGAACTGGCAGACAATTGAAAAGAAGTGGGAGACAAGTGAAAAGAAGTGAGAGACAAATGAAAGGAAGTGCAGACAAGCCAGCTACAAGCACCCAGCCTGGGAGACAAATGAAAAGAACTGGGAGACAAGTGAAAAGAAGTGAGCCAACCCGACCACAAGGGGCGGAGCCTCGGCTGTACACGCGGAATTTGCCTCGCCTGTACACGCGCATAGATTACCTCGGTTGCGCACGCGCTACTCGGATTTGCAGGCGGCTTGCTCGGCTGCGCACGCGGCTTGCTCGGCTGAATGAATGAATGAATGAATGAATGGATGAATGAGGAACTGAAGGAATATATGAAAATGAATGAGTGAACAAATGAATGAATGAGTGAATGAAATGAACTGAAGTGAAATGAAATGAATGTCCAGAGGGGCGTTATTAACACACCCCCCCACCACCCCCCCCACCCCCACCCCACATCATCAATCAAACGCAGAGCATCTGTGTGACGTGGTACTGTGGAAGCAATGAGCAAAAAGAGATCATCATGTAGATGAATGTCCAGGGATGTTATTAACACCCCCCCACCCCCCCCATCCCAACCCAACAGGAAGCAATGAGCAAAAAGAGATCATGACTCAATTTGTGTGTGCGCAGGTGAGGCGAATCTTAGGTAACATGGAGTGTTTAAAGAAGAATGTAATCGATGTGTGCGCAGCTGAGGCGAATCCTGTGTGCGCAGGTGAGTTAAATATATGCAAAAGTCTGCGCACGCAGGTGAGGCGAATTTTGTGTGCGCAGGTGAAGCGCCATCCACCACAAGCACCCAGCCTGCGAGACAAATGAAAAGAAGTGCGAGCACCCAGCCTGGGAGACAAATGAAAAGAACTGGGAGACAAGTGAAAAGAAGTGAGCCAACCCGACCGAGCCTGGGAGACAAATGAAAGGAAGTGGGAGACAAGCCAGCCGGGAACCCGACCACAAATGAAAAGAACTGGGAGACAAATGAAAGGAAGTGGGAGACAAGCCGGCCGGGAACCCGACCAGACCATCCAACACCAAGGCGACCATTCTTTGAAGCATTGAGAACCCCTAGTTTGGGGAAAAATGAAAAGAACTGGCCCAGAACCCGACCAAACCATCCAACACCAAGGCGACCATTCTTTAAAGCAGTGAGAACCCCTAACAATAAACTGTTTGGGGTAAAAATAGTCATGACACCCTTCAAGGCAGGTTTTTCGCCATTGTGTGTTGGCAAGCGTTACGCAGGAGCTCGCCTTTCCCTTCTAGATTCTAGCTGGAGACCTCTGCAACGTTTATGTTTCAAACCCTCGCTTCCCTTTCCCAGCACGGCGCTCCTGTTCTACCCCCACCACACTCAGCACCACCTAGCAAACCTAGCACTTCTTGATGCATACCCCCTCTCCCTTGCCCAGCTCTCCATCTCGCAACTCCAATCTTTTTCATCGAAACTTCGCTTATTAAATTCATTCGGAGTCGGTGTTTTGAGGCGAGTCTTCATACCCATGAGAGCCGTTGCAATGTTCAACGTTTTCTCACACTAAGCACTGCACCACGAAGGTCCTTCTCTTGCTGGGTATTGGACAGGAGGACACCGCTTAACTCCTCCAAAGTGGACTGCAGTCTGGACTGCGCTTGACACCTGACAAATGTCAAGTTGACAGGGCTGGGCGAAAGCATGACTTTCCTGCCGCAACGCTTCAACTCATGTTGCCTGGACCGCTGCACTGGCGGAAACTCTGAGGCAGCCTTCTCTCTTTGAAGGCTCGCAAATGAAACCTAGGAGACCAAAAGTCGCATGGCCGCATGGCTGTGCAAAAAGAACAAGACACACTGGTGACTCAGAGAAATCCCCAGCTGGCCACGCTCCCCTCAGCCAAACACTTCTTCCCCCACCACTACGCATCGCCTGCGACAAACCACCAAAACATTTCTGCGTCCAAGCTTTACAATACCACACTCCCTTCAACAATAGTGTGCCATCTAGGCTGCCATTTTGGTGTTAAACTGCAAAATTACAAAAAGTGTGTGTGTGTATATAACATATATATATATGACACCCCTAACGTCTAGTCACCGCACTTGCACACATGGTTTCAATGTCGCATGTCCGCAATTGAATATGGGGAGACACTATGGGAGTTGATCCGGGGCTCTGAATCAATCGTCCACCTGCAGGGGGTTGCAGCTTTGCGCGCACTTTCAGGGCGTCTCTCCTATACGAGGTACTAGCCGACTTGTTGCGAAGGAAGCATGCACTTGAACAAACATTGATAATGGGAATACTTTGAACTTACTTTTCCAGAAGGCTAGTCATGGTGACGGCCGAATGCTCGGTACGCAAGCTTGCACCCAAAGACAGGCCACAGAGTTTCCAGTAATCGCGCACCTTCGTAATGGTATGTACAATACCATACAAAAGGGATCGTACTTTGCCTAAAAGTACTCCACCGCCACCGCGCCAAACCCCAAGAAGATTGCCACTGATTGCTATAGATGGGGATCCAGCATTACCAGGAGAAGTGGTTGGAGCAAAGCTCCTAGCACACAGTCTCACAAACTTCATAACATCGCTGAACGAGTATCTCATTCTGCCACATTGGCAAGTATTTATATATACGCACTTTTTTTTGATTCTCAAAGGGTCTGCAGTAAGGTCCACTATGCATATTGCGATGTCAATCATGGAATATGCACAGATTATGGTCTACATGGAAAATGGTTCGCACTCTTTCTTGGCACTGTGAAACTCTAGGATGCTTCTTTGAGCTCGCTTTGCCACCATAGTCCACTTTCTTCCAATCAATTTTTTTCTCTTGTAGAGTTTGAAGTACTGTTGAACTGTTTGCCGAAACGCTCGCGCCTTTTGCTTGTATGTTGAATGTGCTCAAGGGCCCCCCTAGAGAGGTATCTCCCTCAATGTTGGGAACAGTGTTACGTTGAATTTCACTCCGTCCCTCAGATCAATGTTGCGTTGAGACAGCGATCTGGCTAAAAAACTGACACTGTTGAGTAATCTAGAACCCGCTGACTCCGGTGTTGACCCTTCGTTGAAAGGCTCAGGCGTTGTTCACACCCTCTTCTGTGATCGAGCCCGTGTTGATGTCCGGGTTGATGTTAAGTGGGCTGCGCACGTTGGTGTCCTCTTGTCTTGACCTCTATGCGTTGGAATCGGGAGTGTGGCCTCATAGACCTCACATGTTCCCGCCATCGGAGTGAGTTGAACCACAGCCATGTTACCGATGTTGAAGGCGAAGTTTACGCTTCTGGCTGTTGAGCCCTGGACGAAAGGGCTACAAAACATGTTGAATTCAAAGCACCTTCCGAAATCACACGTTGACCGAAAAGTGTTGACATGTGTGAAAATCATGTTGGAGCGATCGATCTGCAAAAAGTGCTGAAACAAAAATGATGTAATCGATGGACTTCGTCTCTGTTGAAAGAACGGCGTTGAACCATGGCATCGAAATTATAAATGCGCACTGTTTGAGTGTGTCCGCGCACTGCTCACGCTGCACACGCATACCCACGCGACTATCATTTGCATCTCTTGTTGAGACACATTTGTTTGAAACACATTGCTCGACCTCCATGTTGGAAGTCATGCTGCACGCATGTTGGCCGACTGCTTGATCTTCATGTTGAAGGTTGCTGCTGTGAAACTGCTAGCTTCTCAATGGTGTGAGTTGTTGTTTCGGCCAACGAGACCGATGGCTTGCAGATGCCTCTTGAGTGTTTCAGGAGCCACATGCTTGTCGAAGACGTCTGCTCCGTTGTCATTGCTCCTTATCTTCACGGTTGAAATGATGTTGGCTTGAACGAGTTGTTGCGAGAAGAGATACTTGATCTGGATGTGGTTTGCTTTCTTTGAGCTGCCAAGGCGTGTTGCAATGGACTTTCCTGCTGATGAGTCAGTGAGAATGCGGATGTTGATCTTGAGGTTGCTGTGTAGTTCCTTGAGGAAATAGCTGAGGTGTAGTGATTCAATTGTTCCTGTTCCGATCGCGTGAGTTCACTCTCTGCGCTACTAAGTGCTACTGTTTGTTGCGTTCTGCTTCCGAATTGCACACAGGTGCCAAAGACGTAGATGGCAAACCCGGATGTTGATTTCCTTGTGACTGGATCCTCTGCCCAGTCAGCATCGACATATGCATCAACGTCGATCTCCTTAAGTTCATCAATGGTTTGCGCCGTTGGTTGAACTCTGAACTTGCAGCGCTTTGTTCCTTGTAGACACCTTACGACGTGATTCACGCGCTTCCAATCCTGTGCGGTTGGCTTGTTGAGTGCTCTTGCATAGGCCAACTCTGGCCCTGTAAGGACAAGCCATTGAAGCTTGCCTACTACTCGTCTGTACATTCCATGTTCTTCTCTGCTGAGGTCTTGCTCATGTTCATCTCTTGCTCGTAGCGCAGCCGTCCCTAGGGTTGCTGATGGATTGCATGTCTCCATGTTGACTTCCGTGATGATGTTGTCAACATAGCGGTTGCCAAGTGAGAGCTCAAAGTGTGTTCCACAGTGCGTTATGTTGCGCCCCAGGAATGTCACTGTCTTTCCGGCTGTTAGCTCCCCAGTCGGTTGAAGAAGAAGAAGATGTCGTTGAATCTGCTTGAGGATCTTGTTGATGGTCTCGTGTGGACCCAGGAAGAAAAGGTTGTCTACATAAACCGCCGTTGTTGAGCAGGCGTCGCCTGGTGTCTTGAAGACCTTTGGTTCTGTTCTGAGACGCTCCAGCTTCAACGCACGTTGAAGGCTGTCTGCGAGATGACCCTGCCAGGCCTTTAATTTGGCGATGATCTGAGCCCTCAAAGGGCCTTGCTCAACCTCCAGACTATGCGGTCTGCAGCGTTGTAGAAGTCTGTTGGCGGATACATGCGTAATGCGACTCGTGCTGTCACTGCTGCAGCTGCGTGTAGAAAGGCTGCGCTGATGTCACCTGTTGCGATGCTCCATCGGAACGCGAGTGCTAGCGCGCACGCCAGAAGCCATTTGGGCGCCGCAAACACAGGTGTTGAGGCATAGATGGCATCGGCGTGGTTGACCTTTGGCGACGATGCCACCTTTCTCCCTGTGAACCCATTTGCTCTAGAGGATGGTCCGTTGTTTCGGGAGTGAGCTCGTCAATGTGTCGTTCTGTGAAGACCTGTTGTTGTTTCACAGAGTCGATCTCGTTCCTCATGCCAATAATGAGCTTTTGCTTGTCGAATCCTCTGCGTCATGGATGATTGGTTCTAGAAGGATGCGTTCTGTTTTTGCTTCCTGATTCTTCATTCGCTGTTGCTGTAATTTTGGTTTCTCCTTTCTTTGTTGTCACCTGAAGTGCTGAGATCCTCAGTCTTGTTGCTGGCTGTTCTGTGCTTCCTGTGGCTGAGCCCCTGATCTTGGGAGTTGTTCGGACTTGCTTCGGCTCATGCTTCGTTGCTGCGGTTGTTGCTGGTGCTTCAAGGCTTCGCTTGCTTGGTGAGCCGTCTCCTAGTGTTGGCGTTGGTAGCGCTTGTCTCTTCTGTTAAGATGTTGGTGACATTGCAAGGGTAACGTCCGTAATGACCCCTTGTTCTCCTTTGATTCTTGTTGTTCGCTTGCGCGCTTGCTTGTGATCAGTGGTTGCGCGTCGACAATCTGTGTCTCTACCGTTGCTGATGGCTTCGGCGCCGAAATGGCGAGCGGCATAACGCCTGTTGGAGCTGTTGAAACGGGTGTCCATGGATAAGAGTTGACGACGTCTACGAGTTGCTTATCGAAGTTGTCTGGATGACCATCCTCCGAATTGTTCGCGCTCTGACGACTCGCTTGGAAACGCCAATGATGTGCTCATTTGTTGCTGTATCCTTGCCAAGGCAGATGCCTTTGAAGAAGCGCTGCTCAAGCTGTGGCATTGTCTTTTCTGTTTGAGCCATGTATTGAACTGTTTCTGCAAAGATGCAGATTGGGGTTCTGCGTTCCTTTCCCCAGCGTCTGTAGAAGCTGGCGTTGCCATCGTTGTGAATGAGGTAGCGGTTGAGCAAGTAGTTGGAACGCTGCGCCAACCACGGCATAAGCGGTTGCTCGCCGTTGAATGAGGTGTCCGCAGCGGACTAGAGTAGCCCGCCATTTTGGTATGGCAGGAGTCGGCCGCAGCGGCTAAGCTACTCAAGACCCAGTGGAATCAAACCAGGCCACATGTTCCAAGGTCCTCTCTATTTTCCTCTTCCAAGGTCCTCTGTATTTTCCTGGCCCCGTCATGTGGTTTCCCTTTTCATTCTTCTTCCCGCACACACATTCTTCTCCTCCTTCCTTTCATGCCCTTTCTGTCTTCATGTCTTGTCTTGTCATCTCATCCCTTTCTCTCTTTTGCGTACACATTAGTCCGGCCCTTGGCGTACACGTGCGCTCGTACACTAAACCCAGGTCTGAGGTCGCCCAGGTTGTTATAATGAGGTATCCCTCATCGGATTGTTCCTGTTTATTTGGGTCCATTTCGTCGCAACCACGTACACTGTCCTGCCCTGTCTTCCTCTCACGTCTTCATCTTTTTCCCGAGAGCATCTGCGAAGGGTTCCTCGTAAAAAGACATCTGCAGAACTACGTATCATCTACATCTTCACATCTTCACCTATATCTCTGCTCATGTTCACATCTGCACATCTACATCTCTGCTCATCTTCACATCTGCACATCTACATCTCTGCTCATCTTCATCTTCACATATCTACATCTCTGCTCATGTTCACATCTGCACATCTACATCTCTGCTCATCTTCACATCCTCACATCATCTCTGCTCATCTTCACATCCTCACGTCTACAGCTCACATCTTCACCTCTCGCTCTTCTTAACTTTCTCTCTTAAGGCCGGGGCAGTGCCGCCGGAGCACCACGAAACGCAACCCTCTGCGGAGATCGTGCGTGTCGAGCGCACAAAACGCAGGCGAGAGTGCGATTTGGTTTTGTCCGGCGCAACCCTCTGCGGAGATCGCGCGCGTCGAGTGCGCGAAATGCAGGCGAGAGTGCGATTTGTCCCGGTCCGGGACAACCCTCTGCGGAGATCGTGCGTGTCGAGTGCGCGAAATGCAGGCGAGAGTGCGATTTGGTTTTTTGTCCGGCACAACCCTCTGCGGAGATCGTGCGTGTCGAGTGCGCGAAACGCAGGCGAGAGTGCGATTTGTCCCGGTCGCGGGCGTGTCGAGTGCGCGAAATGCAGGCGAGAGTGCGATTTGTCCCGGTCCGGGACAACCCTCTGCGCAGATCGTGCGTGTCGAGTGCGCGAAATGCAGGCGAGAGTGCGATTTGGTTTTGTCGCGGGCAACCCTCTGCGGGGATCGTGCGTGTCGATGGCGCGAAATGCAGGCGAGAGTGCGATTGGGGAGCTGGAAGATGAGAACTGGCGACTTTCTAGTACAACTTTAGTACGCGGAGTATCTGGGGAGCTGGAAGATGAGAACTGGCGACTTTGTAGTGCAACTTTAGTACGCGGGCAATCTGTGGAGCTGGAGGCTGAGAACTGGCGACTTGCTGGAAGCTGAGAACTGGCGACTTTGTAGTACAACTTTAGTACGCGGAGTATCCGGGGAGCTGGAAGATGAGAACTGGCGACTTTGTAGTACAGCTGGAAGCTGAAAACTGGCGACTTTGTAGTACAACTTGAGTACGCGGAGTATCTGGGGA